TTCTCAAAGAAGAGACGAAGTGCCGTGTCGACCTTTTCCTTCACGGGGATACACTCTTTAAGGTGCTTAACATCATCCCACTCTCCAAGAATCCAAGCCGCCATGGCCCCCGACTGTGCTATAGCCGCCGAGGACTGTGTGAGCCGTGGGGAGGCCGTTTTGACGACATGAAGCGCCTTCTCCCATTCTCCACACAAACAGAGCGTTCGCACGTAACCCTCAAGATCCACCAGACTGAAGTTTTTGTTATTCTCCACTTTTCCAGCATAGACACGCTGTGCTACATCCCACCACTGCAACAATTCATAATTCAATCCATCCTCATTTTCAGTCTTGTAGCGAATGACACGAAAAAGTCCAACAACAGAATCCTGCATCTCACGTTTACTGTACAGCCATGCAAGTGGGAGGACAAGAGAGTGCAACGCCTCTTTTGGGACACTGCTTGTGTAACGATACTTCTCAATGACGGGTAACACCTTGTTCTCAAGATAGCTTATGGCCTTATCATACATTCGTGTGCGCTGTGCTGCCTCTACCAGGTTATCCATTGTAAAGAGCGGATTTAAAATATTAGGAATAGGTGATGCTAGTGGATACGTTATGGGTGAGGTGGGATTTTGCGCATTCGTTGAGGTAATTGGACGTGCCAATGGATTAAACCCAATCGCAATTTCCGAATTTTCACACATTGTTCTTCGCATCCTGTTATTATTCTGATGGTAATAACGAGAAGTGTCTACACCATTTTCAGTAAAGTCATTGGTGTTACCGTTGCTTTCCTCATTGTTGTTGTTGTTGTTATCCCTTTGACAGCCACTGTTCAGATCCACAAGTGGATTGTCGATGAGATTTGGCATGGTGTTCCTTGGGCCCATGCGTGATTCAACGGGAGAACGAAGTGACTGCACCGGGGACTCAAAGTTGAAATTATCACTGATCGTCCTACTTTGATGGTCTTGTGCCGAATGAAGGGCCGTTGTCGCCCGTGTGTTGCTATCATTGCTCTCAAGGTATCGTAGTTGCTGCAGGACGGGCTCCTTAATGTCCGGTGGATTGTGATCAAGGTAGTCAGCAAGCCCAAGGCATTTGGAGATCACTTCACTGTCTGTGGAGCGCAGGGCGAGGTGAAGAACTTCATTCACCTTCTTCATATGCTCCGCGTTGAGAGACTCGTAGAAGCACTTGAAGGATGGGTAAAACAATTTGCGGCGTAGCGGCTCGTGCTTGTCAAAGAGATCCACCACGATGCGGAAGACAGGGTGTGGGGAGACCATAATGATGTTCTTTTGAAACTCCGCGAACCACTCCCGCCATTTGTTATCCTTTGTACGCAATCCAAACTCCACGTGCTTCATAAACAGTGTGATGTCGTGCTGTCCCTGCGGATACGTGTCATAACGATCGTCATCAGGCTGGTCAAGGTATTGATTGCCATGACCCAACTCCTGCTGGTGCTTCGGGTGATAGCGGCTCAGGTACGGCGATCGCGGCTGATCCCCCATCACAGCTGTGGTATCCAGCCCACTTTCTGCCACCGACGATATTGTCGGACCCAAACTGCTCATCTCCTCTGTATCTCGCAAACACTCACGCAGGGCGGCTATCGTTGACTTTCCACTCAGACACATGGCGGCAAGGACTTTCAACGCCTCCAGCACCATCGCAGTCGATAGGCGAGGTCCAAGGTCTTCGCTTAACACACAATGTCGTGTGAGAGTCCGAATAGCATGCATTAAAGCAGGAAGATGTTGCACAGCTTTCAAATTACACACAATGTGGATTGCGGCACACAATGAGAGTGAGCGTACTTCCACCAATTGCTCAAGTTGCTGCACAAAATGCATGAGCATAGGAAAGACAACTGGTATGCAATGTGGAGGAATATAACTGGCATGCAACAAAATGTCCACAACACGCAAACAAAATTCTCTTGACTCTGTATGATCTTGCAGGGCAACATCCACAAGGCGTGGATACAACCAAGGCCACACTTCCGCTTGCTCCTTCCCAGATAGTTTCCCAGGTTTCAGCGCACTAACAACATCCAATACGGCACGAAAAAGGGCATGATCCTGTGGGTACCAGAGTTGCTCAAGTAGCACCACAATTTCAGGTAAGACCGTCTTGGAGATTTTTTCATGCCTTAGTGAGGTGATAGCAGCGAGAACGTGCAACGCTTCTATCCGCAGCGACGGTGTGTCGTTTGAACGCTTAGCAATCTGCAACACTGCCTTTGCCGCATGAGCTCCTCCAATGAGATCTTTCCTGTCACTAGTCGTTTGCACAAGTTGCAGTAAGGTGCGTAATACCTGTGTGCATACCATCTCCGAAAGACTCACATCCAATATGCGGCTCAGATCACGGTAGACAATGACTGTATAATCGTATGTCAGTTCAAGATCGGCTTCATCTTGAATGGCCGCCTCATCATCTTTCTTCTTTGTGGCAGCGGTGTCTGGCTTGGTTGAGGGATCAACAGCACCTAATTGACCAAAAAGTGTAAGCACCTGTCTCACCTCCTCATCGGTACTGTTCAATGCACCAATGTAGACGGAGGTGATGGATTGCAGCAGATCATGAAGCTGAGTCGCATTCCACTCCCGCGGCGAAGCCCCAATAGCATGCATTTTCACCAAAAAGCTAATGGCAGCGTGGCTCAGTGAGGTGGATGTGCTGTGGCGGAGAATACTTACCGCTGGGGCGTACAACTCTGCCAAATCATCTTGGTTCCGGAGCATCAGGTTCTCATCCTTCATCAGGGCACCAAGAATGGTGTCGGTTGTCTTTAGAATGGAGAGGGCGATAGCATCGGCCACCATCTCATCCACCAAGTGCCTCCGAAAAGCAATAAAAATGCGATGCATATGATCCATCAATGGTGCCAGAGAGGACTTGGCAAGTGTTTGAAGATCGGAAATATGACGAATAAGACTTCGAGGATCGTCAGAGTACTCAATTACCGCCACGTACGACTCCACCAAAATAAGTAAACTTTGCTGCACCGCTTCCACTGAAGGCGTTGACCGCGGTTCCTGCGTAAGAACTACGAAAAGTTCCACAGTTTTCTCTCGTACCTGGGAAGTGTCATGAAGGAAACTCATAAGCGTTTTTAAAATTCTCTGCTCTAACAGAAATGGACGTAAATCCACGGCATCTGCAAGAAGTGTTACTTCCATGAGTCGAACCTTCGGATCCAGCTCCATCACTACATGCCTTAAGTAGAGCTCAATAATTTCGGTGACACGTGTGGAGTAGGTAGAGGTGCGGTGCTGCCTTGCGTAGTACGTCCACTGGCTCAGTGCTTCCACAACCGAGGTACTGCACTGCTGCCGTACTTGGGCGTCCTGGTGACGTTGATAATGAATAACGGAAGACCGAACTTCCTCCAGCTGCTGCAATGAAGTTATTTGTCGCTTTGCAAAAAGCCCAAGGGCAATGCAAAGCTCCGGAGCGCTTACTGGATAATGCGTAAACATGTTGTTGTTACCGCCACTACCGATAACAAACCCTACACTACCTATTGTTGTTGTTGTTGTTGCATTTGTATTTGCTGTTGTCGCAGAAATTGCCACGCCGCTTATGGATGAGTTGTGACCTCCTCCAGCTAAATTTCCTGCCCCATCACTCCTCGTACACACATTCACTTGGCTTTCTCCAACACTACTAGTCGTCACGTTGCGGTTAGAATTGCCGGTTCCGGCCTCTAACGTGGCAGGCGAGAGAAAGTACTGCGCTAAACGGCCCACAGTACTGCTGGGCCCACTGAAGGTTGATGCCTGCTGTTGGGCATCATGCCTTGAATGCAGTGGGACAGAACCCACTGTAGAAACGGGGAACTTATCGCGTGTCGAATTTGGCATGCCACCACTAAAATTCATCCGCTTTGAATCCTGAAGATTGTCCTTTAGTTTATTGTCAACAAGATTTTCAAGAGCCGCCTGCAGCTCAGCACTCACGGGGAGGACATGTTCTTGAATCATCGTTACATACTTGACAAGCTCGGCAGAGAGAACAGCATTCGCCAGGTGAGGAATGCAGCGGCGCACCAAACCATCAACGTGCTGCATGAGTTCTTGCTGCTTGACACAATTTGCTGGAGCCACACTTCGTGTCCGAGCAGATGTCGTACCTTCGCTCCCAACAGAAGCATTTTGCACAGAATGAGTGCTTCCTGCCGTCGTTGGTGCCTCACTCTTGCTGGCAGAGAAGCTAGCGGCTATAGACCTTCCAGACTTACTCGTATGTAGCACCCGCTTGTATATTGACCATGCGTGGCTGCTACATATGGCCGCTAGAATATGCCAACACTCCTCTTGTGTTTCCCGACGAGTGATGTAGCGCATGAGGATAGAGTCCAGATTCGTCCTGTTTGTGGTGTCTAGTACCTCGTAACCAACGTTCTTTATAAAGGTAGCAACATTGCGCAGCTCCAGGCTCTTGTTTCGTTCATCTCGAACGTTTTTCACGGGTTCCATAATGATAGCGCAATAGGTGGTACGACGGACCGCGGAAAGTACATCCGTCTCTGCAATAACTGGAACGAGATCACACACAGCAGCGCGTACGGCATGAGACTTGGAAACGCGGTGTTGTTCCGTGACAAGAACACAAAGCTGCGGTAGAATAGGCACCTGCTTCTCCATAAATTGTACCCCTCTGCTACTTATGAGTGCACGAATAGATTGCAATGTTGATATAATGCTGCTTTCGTTATTGTGACTTGTGTTTAAGGACCGAATCGCATCATCCAAGACACGCCGGTTTTCCAGCACCACCTCATTGTGTCGCATGGCGCTCGTGTTACTAAATATCGCCACCAGGCAGTCGTACGCAGCACGACGAAGCACCTCATCCGTCGAGCCAGCCAGGGCTGTTGCGAGCTGCACAGCATGTGGACGAAGTGGCCCGGCCATGTAGCGCGGGTTAATCTCGGCTGTGGCAGCGAGTGCTAGCATGACGGCAAGAAACTGCGCGACAAATGGCGCCTTTGTTTGCTGTGCACGGCCGTGAAGTTGAATAAGAGACAACTCGCAGTTATCTTTAAGTTCCTTCGTAATAAATGACTTGAGTGGTGAATCTAACGAAACAAACTTTAAATCCAAAGTCAACATACGCTTCAGCACACGTTGTGCCTCCATCACCGGCTTCTCAAGGCCACAATGCAGGACTATGAAGAGGCTACGGCAAAGTCGTGTAAACTTTTGTTGAGGATTTGTATACGGCACAGCAAGGAGAGCATCAATAAATTCCACAGCAAGAAGAAGTAATTTTGGATTTGATGTTCGTGACAGCTCGGAGAGAACATCGCGTATGCGTTGCTCAAGAAACAAGTCACGACTCATCGGGTCGCAGCTTGCAAGGGCTCGTCGTTCTATGGCCCACACAGCATCTCGCATCACGGCTTCTGCATTTGACCCATTCACAGAACACTCAAGCTCCTTCAGCAGCTGATTCACCTCCTCATCACTGGCGTCCGTGGAGCCCGCGGGGGTCGAGGATGACATGGGCACATAACTGGAGGCAGCCACATCTGGAACCGGGCCACTGGACACGCCACGCCCAACGGCACCCCCACCGCCATTGCCAACAACGCCGCAACCTAAAACATGAAGACCACTGCCATTACCCGTCGCACCCCCACCGCTGCTTGAGCCGGATGAGGTGTGACGCCGCTGCATAGCGTACTTCTGCATGTAACGCCCAAGCGGTACAGATTCAAAGCCCTGATTCTGAGCTTATTCAACAAGTTCGGTTCCGCCAACCTTATTTTCCTTTTTTTTTTTGTCCTTTGAATGCCTACCTTACTCGGCGCTGTGTCTTGGTCGTCCACCACCGCCACCAACACCCCCCCCTTTTTTTTTTCGTTTTCTTTTATTCTTTCTTTCTTTTTCGTTTTTTTTTTCCCTCCTCCTTCTCTCTTTCGTACTTTCTTATTTGGCTAATGCCAGGTGTTCTTCTCTGGAGAAGGCGTCCTTCTTCGTTTTTATTCCTCTTCCCCACCTTCCTTCCTTTGCTTTTTTTTTCCTTTTTTTTGGGTGCCGCGAGGTCTTCTGTAATATCCCTTTAAGGATACCGGCTACAGCGCAGCGGTAGAAGTGGACAGGCGGAGAAAATGCAAAGGAAAAAAAAAAGCATGATTCGTTTGATGACGTTCAGGCATCCTCACTTCTCTCTCTCTCATGCTCTCATGCTCTCATTCATTGTTATTTCAGTAGTACCGTTCGCAAGTGCATGATAAAGAAAAAACAACAACAACAAAAGCAAAAAAGGTTATAAGACTGAATACGACCCCCCTCCTCTCCCGCTCCCTTTTTTTTTTTAAATTATCTTGTATGTGTGTCGCCGTGAATATGGGAGTTGCCGTTCCCTACCCCAAACTTACCCTGTTCTTTTGCACTTTCCTTTTGCACGCGTGCGTGCTCGGGTGATGGCGGTAGGCGTGATGGGAATATTGTGGGGGGTATGCTGTGGCTCATTATTCATTCCTCACCACCCTTCTTCTGCCCCCCACACCTCCATGCGACACGTACATGCAAATAAACAAACCCATGGCTTTCACACACACACACACACGTACACGTTACATGTAGTCACACTACTGAAATGGATGCAAAAAGCAACAACAACAATAAATACAAATATGAGGCAGCAACAGGAAGGCCAATGCGTTGCGGTTCAACATGTACGTACCCACCCACCCACCACCAAACAAACAAGTAAAAAAGGCAATTGTGGCAGGTAACAATGCTAATTTGTAGTAATCGACCTTATTACTACCATCTAAATGGGAACCACACGCGCCGCCAGCCAGTAGAAACAAAAAAAAAAAAAAAGAAAAAAAAAAGACGGAACAAAACAATATTGAAGTAAATAATAATTTACAAAAAAAAAAAATAGACACACAGGCGCACACAAATAAAGAACACCAAAAAAAAAAAAAGTTGTGTATGGGATGGGTGGGGACACATGAACTCCTTTCGGCAGGTCCAAATAAATAAATTGAAGAGGCAACCCACAACCCTTCTCCCATTACATGTTTCCTTTTTTTTTATTTGCGTGCATCCCTTCTTTTCTGTATATATATATATATATATATCAATGCGCCTTTTGGATTCCTCTACGCAATTTATTTATTCCATTCATTCTTTTCTATCCTCTTCGCCTTTTCTCTACCTCTCTCGTCCTGTTCTATTCCTCTTCCTCTTCCTCCTCACTCCCCCACTTCCCACCGGCCACCAGATCTATTAAATACCGCGATGCAAGACGCAAAAATCCCACCCCATTCTAGCGCACGCCTGCCATTTAGACTTCTCTCAGCCTTCTCCCGTCGATGAGATGATTTGGCACGTCTGCATCGGTGGCGCCCATTAGGTGACGGAGAGCGCGGCTACGATGCGGATGCGGCTGCGCGTTCTCGCGTTTTAACCGCGCTGCCCGCCGCGTCGGACGGTGGCATCGACGGCCTTCTTTTTCGACGCCTTGGTGGCACCTGCGGCTGGGACTTCGTTTTCCGGGTCGCGTGCACCGCCTTCTCTAAAGCGGAGGGTTTCTCATCTTCAACATTTCCCGTCTTTTCATTCGGCCGCCTCACTACCTCTCTCTTCGCTGAGTCATCTGCCTCCTGCTTTTCTTTTTGACTCTTCTCCTTCTTACCGCGGCAGCAATCGCAGAAGACCTTTTCCTTCTTGGCCTTTGGCGGTACAGACTCCACAGCCGTAAATACAGGCTTGAATTGGACAGCCGCTTTCTGGGTTTCATTTCCGTCATCCTCAACACCCGCCGCCCTTCTTTTCTTCCTGCTCTTCCTGCTATTTTCTCTGCCGCTGCCGCTGCTAGTGCTACCGCTCATGGTTCTCGTTCTGCGATGCTTCATCTTTGTTTCCTTCACCCCGAAGTCATTCCCTGTTGAAGGCGATGGAAGGCGCCGCACCCTGCTACCATCGTCAACCTCCTCGCTGTACCTTATTTGTTTCAGCTTTCTCAACCGCTGTTGACGTTCTCGTTCGTTCCTTCTGTTTTTATCTTTGGAAACAGAGGGTGATTTGACGTTGGAATCCACGCTACGCCGCCTTAACGACGAATCTTCGTGGCGGGAGTGCCGACGTGGAGACAAGGAGGCATCATGCCCCCTAGTCCCACCTTTGTCATATGACATATGCCGGCCGTGCACCGGTTCTGAGAAGGATTCCCTCCTTTTCGGTGAACGCACAACCCCAAAGGAACGTGACTTCACCGCGCTCAGTAAAGCTGGCCGTGTCCTCGTAACTTCAGCCTGAGGTCTCTGGCGAATGGGGGAAAGTTTTACAATCCTCTCAGGTTTATCTGGCAACTGCTCGGTCGAAGGGAATCTTTTCGACTGTGTATAATAGTGAAGCTGCTGCTGCTGCTGATGTCCTTCTTGCCGCATTTGCGACGACCGTTGCAAGAAAACAACCCTTCGCTCTTCCTTGCTGTCAGATCGCAACCCCGATTCCCCGTATCCGGTGCCGGTGGTCGAAAATTCCCGATCAAACGGTTCCGTGTGATATCGTTCTTGTTGCTGTTGGTGGGGGTGAGGATCTTTTGGTGACTCACCGGCGCGTGGGGTGCCGTACAGGATCTCGCGCACAAACTGTTCGTTGTGGCGGCCACCAATGATGGCAATTCGTGGAACATCATCGTCCTCCTCCTCTTCCTCCTCCTCATCGGAGTTGTAGTCGTCCTCATTAAACGAGTCATCGTCGTAGCTATTCCTACGACTTCGGCCCACACTATCTGCCATTTGCCTGATAACGCGATCTTTTTCCATGTAAATCCTCTCCGGGCTCGCATCTAGCCCTTCAAGATGACCGCTCACATTCCTCTCGCTGGTGTTGGAGCCTCCGTAACTCACCGGCGACACAGCCCGCACATTTCCATGGACGTACTCGGAGCTTCCCCGACGTCCATGGCCGTTGACAACCCTTTCAATGTCGGAACCGCCGTTCCACTCCCAGTCGTATCTATTAGGCACCGTACTCTCGGACGATCGCGGCGGCGGCAACGTGCTACTCTGGGAAGAGCAACCATGCTCGGTGGCCACAGGTGGCCTCTGCCCCGCGCTGCGAGGACCACGAGTATAAACGACAAGCGAAGCCATTTAAAAAAAATGAAAAAAAAAAAAAGAGAAAAACAATTACCTTCTATAATATTTATATTTATGAGGATATATACGTATATATATATATATCTTTCCAACGTCCGCAATATCTACTTCCTCCCCGCTATTTTCCTGTGGCCTCCTTTACTCAAAATAAATAGTTCAAATGTTTGTGCCTTCGCTTTTTTTTTTTTTTTTTTCTTCTCCCTCTTTCCTTCTGTCCGTCTGTTTACCTTCTCACAGGAATAAAACAACTGAAACAAAGAAAGAAAGAAAGAAAGAAGAAAAAACGCAGAATAATCTTCTGGGGCACTGGCCGGATCCTGAAATTATCTATAAAAAAAAAAAACAAACAAAATAAGAAGGAAAAGGGTGTAACGCATAGGCAGTTAAAGGCCTCAATGTTTTCTCCTCAACAATTCATAGGATAGGAAAAAAGGTATCATAAAGGAATGCATTCGGCTACCGGTATGTATGTATGTATATATAATTTAGTTAGCCAGCTCTCCCGCAATCATTCTCTTCAAGAGCCCCCAGCAACAAGAAGATAAAATACTTTTATTACCCTCCCTCCTTCCAATCCTCAATGTGACACGCATGTGTGCATGTATGCACACAGATGGATTTCCATATTTCCGCAGATCAAAACATCGACGCAACACGACATCGTTGTTCATGAAGACGAAAAAAAAAAAAAAAAACGTCATCAGTGAACACATTTCAGAGCATCAATGGGATTACATTTACGTCTTGCATGGGGAAAGGCTGAGGCATTCGCACGGAGCCTGAGACAGGCCGCAAGCCACGCATCTGCCAGTACTTCCCACGCTCGAGAGCCAAGAAAGGAAAGACCTACTTGTAGAGAAAGAATCGCCTCCTTACCTACACAGCGCCTCACCGTTTTCTCTTCTCTTGGGGAGATGGCGTAAGGTGCAAGGGACGTGGAGGATACATCTTCCTCATTATCATAGCAAGAATGCATATCCAGCGTTATCCAAAGCCCAACTTCAGCAAGAAAACTTTGCAGCAACAAAATTTGTAGATTTTCAGCTTCTGTAAGAAGCTCTGACGTGGTTGCAGCTGCCGACACGGATGTGTTGGCATGACTCTCATTCGTATCACCTAATGGCAGAGACGCACTGCGGTTTGGGAACGTCATGTTGTTGGAAATAAAGTGTTTCCACTGATATCGGAGGTACTGTGAGCCAACGACATTGCCCTCATCTTGATCTGAAACAGCTCCTCCCCACGAGGATTCCTTTGGCGTGGCTACTGTAAAGTCTGCGGGAGAATCGCATCGTTCCTTATTCCCTAAATTGAATGGCAACGGATCGGGTTGCCGGAGTTGTTGTGTTTCTCGTGGCTGCATGGATGTCCTTCTGGGAGCCATGGAGCTCGTCACCGCGGATGGAAAGTTTGGTGACTCCAACACCCTCCCAATACACTCCACAATCCAAAGTAGTACCTCCGATGACAAATTCGCAATGGACGACATCTCCTGTTGACGCCGCTGTTCAACCGAATGCATCAAACCGTCCTCATGCATGTGAATCGCTTCATAGGAAAGTTCATCCGCCTGCTGACTCAATGCCGGCTGCATGACAGAGATGGGGAGAGAAAGAACCCGTCGAATGAGTCCATTTGCCTTCCGCGATGTGTCTCCGTTTTCCCCATCGGTCGTCATTTCCACCTCCTTACCATCATTGATATTCCACTCACACTCCTTCCCGCCTTGTTGCTGGCGATTTCTTAGCCATTCACTGGCAGCAAGCAGTACAAATCGCGTACGTACGGCCAATTCATCAAGTGGGTACACAATACCCAACACGCCGCCTTCCAAGACAGTAGCGTCCATGGCGGAAGGGCGTAAAGAGTTCACTCGAACCGATGGATACACACTTTTCAAGCGATCCACACCATCACGAAAAAAGTCAAGCAACGAAACAACTTCCGTCGCCTCTTTCGGTGCTGAGTATAACGCCGTAAAGGAATTTAGCCACGGCTCCAAATCAACCGTGTCGCTTTCCATAATTGCGGAGGGGTCGCGGCCATCCTTCCTATTGGTGCCGTTTCCGTTTGTCACATGCAAGGCCTTTTCCCACCCCTTAGAGGTAATCGCATCGTCTCTCAATTCCGTACTTCCGCCAGGAAACGGGTAGCGTGGGTTGACTTCAGCGGCAAGAAAATGAAGGATTCGCAGAACAGCCGGTGGACTGAGCGCGTCACGTGGAACAATACCCTCTGCGTAATTAAACGCCTCCAGAACACTGTAACTCATCCAACGCTCCTGGAAGAGGGGATGTTGGGGAAACAAACGCAAGGAAATTTTGTACACGGAATCGAAGGCTGCAAACATACATGCTGGAGAAAAGTACACTGCTGGGGTTTCTTGCCCGCTACCGACATGTGGGCTAAAGCATAACAACTGCCCATTTATTGTCTGCTCCACGACACGTCGGCTGTGATGGGTGGGAGAACTAAACAAACGCGCAAGCCACTTCGTCACCTTTCGATCCTCCTCAAAATAATCAAAGTTTTTTGCAACCGCCATCGGGATAAAATCGTGGGGGCCAAGAGAGGTGCATCGTTGAAGGGCCAATGATGCGGCAATGACTGCCTCCGCCTCTGCCGCTGCAGCGAGCTCGTGGATGACGGGAGCCACAAGGGCGTAGACGGAGTCCCAACAGACGGCAAGAACGCGTTTGCTCACGGACACATCACACGCCAATGGGTGTGCCGCCACGTATGAAAGTAGTCGAAGTCGTACAGAAGATACAAACGAGGCTAGATCACGCATCGCACGTTCAAACATTTTCACTGGAGACATCCGTTTCGCCAAACTCTCCACCACGCTTTCAGTGTGAAAACAACGAATAGCACCACTACCAATACCATTACTAATATTACTACTGTTACTTTTACTATTGTCACCATTCCCTCCAACCACCCCCATCTCTTCGCACCAGGATGGACAGGACCAACATCCACCCCCCGGTGCTTCACCAAACCCCTGACGATAATCGCTTCCAAGTTCACGCAGCTGCAACACAAGCGGAGACAACCTTTCTAAAGATTTCATATACGATTTTTCTTGCTGGAAACAACGCAGACTCGCCCATCGGCTGCGAAGGATATCATGCGAGTTAGACAAAGGGCGATTTTCATCATCGTATGCAGTCAACAAAGAACTGCGGGAAACCGGCGCACTTCTCGCCGCTGCGGGAGAGGAGAAGCTAGGGAACGCCCACTGCGTGAGGGAATGCCCTGCATCCTCCCCGAGAGAAGAACTCCCGTTGCAGTTCCTTCGTCCCCGACCCACACATGGCTTGTACAGAAAATAATAACACCGCTGGAAGGGCACCAATAGGGCCTTAAATTCAGAACTCTGCATCATATTCGAGAGAAGCAAAATGTTTTTTTCGTCTGCGTGATCCTTTTCATCATTGTCCAACCCTTCCATTGTCGTTGCTGTTGTTGTTTTTGTTGTGGGCGATGTACCCTGATGATCCCAAGGGGCAGAGGCGAGCTTCTCATCAAACGCGAGAAACAGCGGTTCCCAAATCCCACTGAGTGGGACGGATGAACGCATCAAGGCGCCATGTTCAAAAGACCAATTTTCATAGCTTTTCCAAAGTCCCCCTTGTAAGATAAAAGGGCTTGTGGGTAAAATAGCGTTCGATGTCTCGGTAGGGCTCCCTTTCTTCCAGCTACCAGAAAAAATTACGCCTGTGGTGCAGTAATGCAACGTTCCTGATCCCTCGCGCTGATCATAAACAAAACCACCCATGTAAACGGTACTTTTATTCGGATCGTACTCGACGCCAAAACCGTGTCTTTGACCACACTGCCAAAATCCACAGTAACGAATGCCCTGCGGGTATAATATTTCCCCAATTCCATCTGGAACAAAACGTGCCTGCTCTGCCCAGGCAAGGCCCGCAAAGGTTCCTCGATGCGGCGTCAACCCAGATGAAATCAAAGAGATCATACCAATGTATTGGGTTTTTACATTTGCAGCCATATCTTTTCCGGAATTCCCACCCACTCGCGTTGGCTTCATTTGACTCTTTTCATCCGTTGGCGACATGCTATACTTGGAGAAAAAGCAAAGGACACACGGCGTGCGGTCCAAAAGCGGTGCATCGTTGTCCCAAAGACAGTCTATAAAATAATGGGGATACACCGTCAGCCGTCCCTTTCCCTGTCGCCTGCCGTAGCTGAATGAACCTGTGTACATGGAAAAGGTGAGCAAAATGGCATCCCGCAATTCTTCCACCTCCCCATACTCACTAATCACCACTGTGTGCGGTAAACCCACCGGAGAACCAGGCTTCCCTGCAAAACCAACGGTGCCACCCTTGGCGTAGAAAAAACAGACTAATTTACCGACCCCGTGGGGGATAAAGACATTGCTACTGTTCCCACAGTTGTGGTTACTGTCGGCACGAACTACCTCGCCCGTGTAAAGGTGTCGCAGACAAACGTTTTGCTGTTTAAGCCCAATTCCCGCGTTTTTCCCAAGCTGTTCCGTTTGGATCCCAGTACACGTGCCAAATTCGATGGGGCACATCATCACGCGCTGAATGCCGCTTTGATGCGACTCAAATGTGACGTCCGCAGGCTGCGACTGAGTGGCTCTAGCAGGAAGCGACATGCGGAACGGTTCACTGTTTCCTATCCCTGCACAACTGCACACATAAAGAAAAAAGAAAAAAAAAAGAAGGAAAAGGACAAAAATAAAACCATGAAAAAAAAGGACGATCCGCGTTGTGCGGCCCGCCGCACCAAAGTCTTGGGGATCAACACATTTTCCCTCTTTCCCCCTCTCCGCTTCTCGCCATCTGCCAAACCTTTCTCTCTCTCTCTCTCTCTCTCTCTCTCTCTCTCTCTCTGGTGCTTCCTCATCATCTTAGCAGGTGACCCAACAAAACAAGAGGAAATGCAAATACAGAGGACAGTGTGCAAGTGAAAACAGAAAGCTGAGATAAAAAAAAAGACCAAAAAACAAAACAAAAACACGTCACTTGTTAATGACAGTAGCCGCAAAACCTTAAAAAAAAGTTTTCACAGCACGACTCTTACTCTGTGTTCTATATGCATGTATATATATATATATATATATATATATATATTTCCTTCTCTCTCTTTCTTTTTTGCTGTCCTCGTTGGTTATGCTCTGTTCCACTGCGGTGCCACCCACACTCATTCCTTTTTAACGCATGCCTCTCCGCCTATCTCCGTTTCTCTATGCCGGCACTTGGCAATGGGAATTCTCCACACCACCGCCATTATCCACTGATTCCTTTCCCCACAGGGGAAGCCTGTTGCAGCAGGCAGCTGAAACCAATGAGATCTTCATAGGCAGTCGCGCTACGTGCGGCAACATGGAACTTTACAGCATCTGTCTTTTTTGTGCGGCGCCACCAAGCACCAAATGCTTCTATGCGCTCCCTTGTCGTTGTCGTGCACCTTCTACGCACTCCATCGACAAATTCGACTCCTCCTTTGCGTTTTTGCTGGCAAAAAACATCATTGGGGAAAACCCCTTGAAGAACCTCCGCCAACTCCACCGCAATTGGGACTTCGACTTGGGGGGTTGTTAAAACCACACTACCGTTGCTGTTGTTGCTGCCGCGGGTCTCCCCAATAACACCATCACTGCACTTATAATTGGCATTAATATCAGCGGCAATTTCTTCTGCGTATTGAAACTCCTGCCACTCCCAAATGGAGGAGACTGCCGGCCGTTCATACTCTGGTGCCCGAATTACACGACCCAGCTGTGTATCCCAGTGACTTTTGACACCAGCAAACTGCATAGCATTAGAACATGCGTCAGTTTTGCTGGGGAGAATGCACGTCCCGCCAAAAATACATTCATCATGACGAGAGCCCATTGATGTCGCTGACGCCGGCCATTGCTCCACCAACAGAAGGTATTGCAGGCGATTAAGCCACAACCGTACGTCTGAAGGATCATTGAGAGGACGAGATGGCGTCTCCAAGTCGTCATTGTACACCTCAGACCGTATAGCATCGGCAATCTGCCGAAATTTCGTCACATCTTTTATCATAACCAGTTCCAGAGGAGTACTTGGAAGCATGGGCTCTGCCGTTCTCCTTTTATTGTGTTTTGAGCTGCTTTCGACTTCATCGTTTTCTTCCCTGTGGGGAGCAGCTCCACCCTGCACCATAACAAGTCCCCGTTCCACCGCCGCCACCACAAGCAACTGTGCGAAGAGGGCAGCACGAGACATCGGCTCAATAGCAGTGAATGGGGTTCGTTTTCCAAAGAAATGCGATACCTGCGCCGCATCCAGTGGCACAATCTGGACGGCTTCAGGCTCCTGCATTGTGGTTGTTGCAGAGCTGCTGCTGCTGGAGGAGGCAGAGGAGGAAATTGTCACAATAATAGGAACTTTGCTGCGCTGCGCCAAATCACGAACAGCGGTGTAGAACGATTTCATCGTTTCATCGCCAAGAATAACGTCTGCATCCTCAAATAATAAAAGTGTACGAGTGGTGCCTTCGTGGCCCCCACACATTGGCTCCACCGTCACATTTGCTTCCCCATCACGCTTTCCATACTTGCAATCCTCAGCGTGATTCAGCACCTGCTTATCATGCGGCGGCACCGTTGCGGAAACTGTGGGGCTTCCGTCAACAAGAATCACCTCTGAGGACTTTGCCCTTACACGTGGTCGAAAAAAAGCGGCCACCGCTTTAGCAGAGATGACATTCCTCTTCTTCGTTTTCTTCGAACTCGTCGTCTTACTTATTTCAGAGGCTGTTGCAGATACCGCGGCAAGGGCAGCAGCGTGCTCGGACTTCAACTTCTTTAACTCCTCCTCGATGCTGACCATTGCCTTTCCGGCGGCGAGGCCACTGAGCCGCCGACTTCGTGTTACCTCCGAGAATAGGCGATCAATGTCCTTTGGGCAGCGCCGTACGGAGGTATTCATCTCAACCACACGGTAACCGAGTATCTCTGCCACAAGGTAAACAATCGCCGTCTTTCCCACACCGCATGGCCCATGCAGAACTGCGATGTTGGTCACATCCTCATTTGAATCATCGCTCATCTCGTCACTTCCACTGTCACTCACCTCATCAAAAAGAGCTCGACGGGTAGAACGGGTTTCTTCCTCAGCACGAGCAAAGTACCCACGTCGCTGCTCCCGCGCCTTTTGAGCCTCTTCATACAGTGCACGTTCCTCAGCCATCTTTTTTGCCAGGCGCACACTGCGTAAACGGTTACCATATTCATCGTAAATGACACGATCAGTAGCCAAGCCATATTCCTTCTCCTCTAGTGACTCAAAAGGAGACCCACTTCTGAAAGGGCTCGGCGTGATGTGTCGATTGCTGTTTCCAAGCATTTGATCTGCCATACAGATCCAATCATCCCGGTAACTTTGAAGAGCTGTACGTTTATGTTTATGCCCTTCTTCCTTCTTCCTGTTCGAAGCCATAGCTACACGGCCATCATCCTCCTCTTCCCTCTCACCGCCATCATCATTGAGAAAACCGCTGTTTCCTCTTGTTTCCAGTTGGCGAACATGCCTTTTCCGCTGTTGACATGATGCTGAACTCAGATTCAACACGCCCTTCGTGGACATTTTTCTTGACGCCGCTCCTTTCGTACTCCCGTTACGCTGTGTTTTATCCCCGGCTTTGGTGGGAATGGATTCCGTCACACCGACCCCTCCTGGCATTGCCCGTTGCCATGTTCTTACCCACCGCAGGAGTCGTCCTACAGCGGCTGCGAAGGATGAGGTATGAAAGAGCGGTGGTGGAAACTTGGCATATAACATATGATTGGCCTCCCTGTTGTCACTTGCAGTGGACCCTGCAAATACCGGCGTTGTGCCGGAAGGGGAGCACGTATCATCCAACTTTGATTCGTCAGAATGCACCGCACCTGCTTCTGCAAGAAAGGCACCCTTATCGTTGCCGCCACATTTGCAACTCCACTCAAACAGTTGCTGCGCGTATCGGACGGCATCCTCCACAAGAACCGGCAGCTCCTTCACCCGTGCAATATCCCGCACCTGAATCTCCAGTCTCTCCGATTGCTCTAGGCGCCTACGCTTCTGTGCATGAATGTAACCCACCATTCTTTCAAAGGTACCAGAAGACGACGACGTTGACGGGGATGGGCGGTGCCTCATCTCCGCCCTCTCCATCTTTTCTTCTGTCACCAGTTTTGGTGCGCAGTGGGGCGTTTCCTTCTTGCTCACCGCCACTTCCCGTCCCCGTTTCAGCAACTCATCCTCTACCCTGTAGCACTCCAGAAGCGCCGTATGCAGCAATGAGGCAAGTTCAGCGGAGTTTGCCGTTTCGTTCCCTTCCTTCGGAAGCGACGGGGTCCATCTCTGCTCTTCGCCTGAAACGCCACCGCACTTCTCCGGCACGCTGCGAGGGAGTGAACCCAACCACGACCCACTCGGTTCCAAGCGAATGAGCGAGGCGGCGGCAGGCTCGAGAAGGAGAGAAGCATCGTCCTTATGAAATGGCAGCAGCTTGCCCGCTTCAGCCCCATCTCCAGAGAGAAGATCCGCCGACTCCATTTTGCCCTCGCTGCTTGGTGTGATATCTTGGGTGCTCGTGCAACTCAAAGACAGCCGGATACGCTTTTCTCCAGCTCTGTATTCCGCTGGCCCTCCACACGGGCTCGGCACATTCCTTTCCTCTGCAGTGGTGCAACATTGGCCTGCGTCGCCGGTGTGGTGCTGCGACAAGCACGGCGAGGAAGATGACGCCAGTCTGAATCCATCCGCAAAGAACGCTGAAAGGCTCACGGTGTGCACAAGAGAGCACGATGACAGTCGCGGCGGCAACGACATCGCAGAGAGGCACGCTCTTCCCCAGTTCACCCCGCAAATGCTTCAGAGAAAAAAAAAACAAAAAAGAAAAGAAACGGCAAGAAATCAATCCGCCCCCAACCCCTACAAATCTCTCCTTCGCAAAAACAAAAACGAAAAACGGACACACACGGAAAAAGCAACAACATCACGGTAGCAAGCAGTAAAAAAAATCCCTTTGAATGCAGCCAAAATGCGTGTGCGACAACATCATCTGAGCTTTTCCTCTGGGCGCAGGACTGGAATTCCACACCGCGGGCATTCGTTAGACACTTCAAGCCACTCTTTTATATGATGGACGTGTCCCCCGTGGCCACAGGAAAGAAGCCACAAGTACATTCCCTCCACGACCTCCTCGCATATGACACACGTCATAAGAGGTGCGTTTCTACAACGAGAACAGACCGCGTTCCGCGGCGGGACGCCAGAGTTGGAAAGAGGATGCGCCGATCCACCACCGTTGACCTTCTCCTTTGCCACAAGCACACTATCGTTACATGCTCCACTGTCCGCAGGCTCATCCTGAACGCACATGCAGAAGTGGGAGGAACTGAGGGAAGATTCAAAGCTATCGCTTGAATCGTCATCAGAGCCTAAACGCTCATTCGTTCCCTCGCTCACATCAACACTTGTTGCGGGTGTCGCGGTGTGCAAAAACAGCCTTTCACCCTTTTTGGGAGCTCGTGGCACCAACTCGGACTTTGGACAAGTTCCACAATAGACGCATGTGAATAACTTCTGTGCAACGTCCTCGGCACGCGGTAACCCTGCGCTGAAGTTCCCCATCACCTCAGGCACAATGATGAGTAACTCGTTGAGCGGAACATAGAGCTTTATTTCATAGAGACGAGTAACATATTGCTCTACCCACTGCAGCGCTCGCATTTTCCATTGCCACGGGCTGCCATTGGTGGCTTCCCGCGTCTTTTCATGCTCTTGAGCATTCCCCGCTGGTTTCTCGTCCGTTGGAAACAGGGGACATGCATAACTCCGCACCGACATCCCTCGTTGCTTCCACCATAGGCAAAAAAGTAAATATAACACAGCACAAAACTGCACGTCACCAACAAGGGAGGTATATTCCAGGTAACTGCACACAAGCGATGTAATGAGTGTCACATTGTGGCTGCGCCACGCATACGCAGCCGCAGCCCAGAGTCGGCCCCTGGGATCTACGGAGCCCAAGGGATATTCACTATTTCCAGTTCCTTTACCGGAATTGGCCGTTGCACCATCCACGCCAGGGACGTTGCCCCTTTCCTCACTTATGGCCTTTGTTGCAGCTTGCAATTCTCGCTCACGTGACCTACAAACCTTTGAGTTGTGTCCCATCATCCTCGCAAAGCATTGATCAACATTCTCAGTCTCTGTTTTGGCAATTTCTTCCGTTGCTGCATGACGATGTGCTCTCATCTTGCGGGATGTATCAAAGCCCATCTCCCAATTCAACGCATAGCGTACAAACGTATCCTCCTCAGAAGTTTGTTCTACATAGGCCCATCCACACGTCTCATTGGAAAGGACAAAGCAATCAATCACGGGTTTAACGAGTGATCTTCGTCCCAGAGGCGGCGGCTGAGCAGGGATCTTCTCCACTGAGCCTCCGTCTGCACCGTATTCCGAGGTCAAGTTGGCACAACCGGCCTGTGTCTCCTGTAACAGAGAAACGGCGCCTCCACTCGTTCGACCCACTGGTGTAAATAAATTCGTACGCCTGGCGTTCCCTTCTTCAGATTGAGTTGGTGAAAAAGAGCTGGTCATTGCCAGAGCATTCATAAGTGAAATCATAGGCGACACTATGCCACGATGTTCACTGAGGCTCTGTTCATTCGCGGAAGCTGAACGTGCCCCAAACAATCCTCTCTTCGCCGTGGCTGCTGCCCCATCCAAGCCGTGGCGTGTCGGGAAGCTACATGCTTTTCCTTCTAGCCCACTCTCACTCTGCGTCTCCAGTCCGCCCCTCGAAGAGCGGTGTCGTGAGTCAAAAGCAACCAAGTATGGGGATCGCCGCAAAAATCTATCCGCACTCTTCGTTTCGGCATCATCGTTCGCCACAACTCGATCAACTCCCATTGCTCTTGTTGTTGTCGTTGCAACTGTGAGTACCGGCGACGGCGACGGGACGAGAGAGAACAGGAGGGGGAAAAGAAATTCTAGCCGTCTGCCGCTGTTCGGAGACCCTGCGATCGCATGGGCGCTAGCCAAAGAACTCGGAAACCGTCTCTCAAAGGAGGCTTGCTGCAGCGGTGTTTGCGTGGACCAGTGGGATGGCAGTGGGGAATAACGCGTGTCAAACATCATTCCACCCGTGGGCGTGGCACGTGAGGAGTCTTTATGATGCTTTACAGTCCCCAATGAAACCGCCGTAGAGGAGGGGGAAGGGGAGCTCAAAACACCACCACCACCACCAACCGCATTTTTTTTTCCTGATGCCAACTCCTCCAGTAACTCTCGCTTCTCGGCGTTGATGATTTTGGTGTAGTACTCCCGTAGAAGCGAGGAGCTGCTGCGCACCGCAAAGCTGCGCCCAAAGTAATCGGCCACCACCGCCGCCGTAGGAAGTATAGCACTGAGACTAAGCACGTCGGATCCCGCGGACAGCTGCGTGTTGGGGTCGGTTATGCACCGGAACAGTGTGTCCCTGCTGGTTGTTTTTTCATCCAGGAGGGATGTGAGCACAACCCCCCCGTCTTTGAAGATAGAGACGAGTGTCAACGCATTCACCCAGACACAGTCTGTTGGCTCCTGCAGAGGTAATTCCTGCAGGGTCGGGTTCATGTGGTGGGCTCCCTGTCGAACAAACTCGCGCCCATGACAGACAGTTCGGATGGAAAAAATGGGGGAAAAGCCGTTGGCGGCATCCCAGACACTAATCTCCTGGCCGTTAAGCGCCGTCGTGGCGAACCACAACTTTGAGGAGGTTGCGTCGATGCTGCCATCACTTGTTTCCACGCATGCCTCTCCCCCTGTCACTTGGAACGCATTCCCGCACGGTCTCCACCGTAGTCGATTGAGTGAGTCAATACTATCGATGGGAGGCAAGACGTCCGTTGATTCCAACGGTGCCGGAGCACTCGCCAGTTTCTCACCGCTAGAGTGGTTCGTTTCCGTCGTGGAAGGCGCCGCAATGACATCACTCTGAACGCGGAAAAACTGCACACGTGAATTGGTCTTCGTCTTTGCCTTCCGAAAGGACACGGCAAGAAGATCGGAAAAGATTGGATGGAAAGCGGCTGAAAGGCATGGCCCAGTCGTCTCCATGCTCCACAACACTTCCACGTGCCGTCTGTCATACACAATCACCTTACCGGCGTTCGCTCTTTCTACAACGACAACGATGAGGTTTGGGTCAAACGGGGAAAACACAACTCCGCGCGTGACGGACCGTTCGTCGTGCGCGGGCGGGCGAAGGATAAGCCTGGGCGGGTACACTTTTTTGTCCCTGAGAGGGATGGTCCACAACTCAAAGTGCGTCGCATTGGAGGTAAGCGCGAGCGTGTACGGATTGTGCGGATCCCACGTGATTCGCTCCACCCGCAAGAAGCCGGTGTTGATCACAACCTCCACCATACTGCACGGACGATCCGGATCGCGTTCCACAAATGGGCTTGGTTGCACTTCCTGCATGGCTGTACCAAACGGTGTGGAGGGCATGGATGCTGCACTGACAACAGCAGCACTCAGAGGCTCACTCCCGGCCACAGTGGAGGAGACAAGGGTGCGGCACCTAGAGCTATGAATCCACTGCTGGGCCATGTATGCGTCTCCCTTCTTTGAAAGCGCGTCAAAAAGCACCGTTACGCTGCGACTGAGCTGCACAATGGCAAGGACCGCCTCATTTCGGTTTGGATACCACGCAAGGGCTTCCACCTTTGCCACGTTACCAAACATGCCACATGAGCGCATCGCAAAGGAAACGGACGCCAAGTGAGGCGTAGAGGAAACATCCGCCCCCGCTGCCTGACTGGGAAGATTCATCGGCGTCACTTCCACAAGATGAACAGCCTTTGTACTTCCAATTGCCAAAATATTAGGCCCTGAGAGAAAGTCCACGCAAATAAGTCCATCGCCAAGTGTCATCTTCCCCAACAATTGAGCCTTTTGGTCTGTTTTTTTCCTTGGACCAACCACGCTGGTATCTGAGCGTGACCCCGACCTGGGTGTCGGTGAAAGACCGGAAATATGCCTTACAGATTCCTCCAACATCCCGTGCGTATTTTCACCCTGTTGATAATCTTTAACTTGCTATTGCTATGGGGGGATTGGGCTAGGGTGGGGAGGAGGGGAAGGAGGAAACAATGTGTATGTATGTATGTGTACGATTGCTGTGTACCTCCTGTAATGCAAATCCAAATATCTCGCACTCGCCTACTTAGGCATACAACAAAAAACACAACACCGCTTATGTGCGGTCACGTTGTAACAGCAAGCAATAAAACCACTCCCTCCTTCTTCCCCCTTTTTGTTTTTTTTCCCCCAATAATAATAATAATAATAAAGGAAATGTACCAAAAAAAAAATACAAGCGAAGAGGAAAGAAGGAGATGAGCCAAATGGCCTGATGACAATCCCCATGCATTTGCTAAGAAATGCCTGGGACAACCATAAAAAAAAAATTATACATATATACATATATATACAACTATGCATGCATTTGTGATGGCACACATGTAAAGATGTTAAATAATCCATGGACACACGCGTGTGTGCAAGAACAAAAAAGAAGAAGGATCAACAACAACACCAACAATAAAACCAAACAACCAACAAAAAACATAACATGCAACTCGGAGGATGCTGGAAAAAACAACAACAACAACAACAAATAAATAAATAAATAAATAAATAAAAAATAGGCGAATGACGTCAAAATTGTGGCGATAATAAATTTCACGGCACCACTCCACAGCCAAGCAAACAAAACGATGGCATTTCATGTATCATTTCAAATGAGGCCAAGTAGGCACGTATGCACACAAAATAGAAAGAAACAAATAAAGAAGCAAACAAACAAAAAGATCACTTCATTCATCTTCGCTGATTTCCTCCCAACTCACCACCACCATCACTTTCCCCACCTCCCCCCCCACCCCCTCTTCATTCGTCACGTTGAAAGGGTTTTCTTTCCGCCCGTTCACAATTTTTTTTTTTTTTTTGGAAAAAATTAAACTCTCTTTCCCCCTTTCCCTCTTTCTTTCTTTTTTCCCATCCGCTGCGTCGACATGACACGCCCCTATCCGCATGAATAGACATGGGCATCGCTATTCACCGCAAGAGGTGTCAAAAGGCACAGTAAAAGAAATACACAAAACACACAAACGAAAAAGAAAATAGAAAGAGCAGACGTCAATATATACACAGACAAATGAAAAAAAAAAAATATTTATATATAAACCCCTCACACACGTGCGCAGAACTGTCGGTGTGGGATATCCCTTCAAGGGAATCAATGTTAGGTCAAACACTCAAAAAGCGTGAAAACGAGGCAAATATAAATAAAATGAAATATATACGGCAAGAGGTTGTACATTGAAAAGAACGATGCTTCGACATCCTGGCGTGGTTGTGGGCAAATCACACATGACAAAAAAATGCACCGAAGAAAGGGGGTGGGTGGGAAAAAAATCGCACATAAAACAACAACAACAACAGCAATCAGAAAGAAGATGACAAAAGAGAAACAAAACAAAAATAAGTAGACGCCCGGCTGAAGCCTTCTTCGTCGTCGTCTCACCCGCTCGTCCCTTCAAGGGCATAAAAGGGAGAGGGGCGCCGTGCGGTGGGCGATGAGAAAAATTGGCTCCGCTGCGCCCAACACATTCCCCTCCCTCCCCGGGCTTCAGTGCAGCGCCGCTCCGCACCCATACATCCCCCACAGGACAAACAAATACAAAAGGCAGGTGGCCATGATGAACAAACGTCTTGTGAGACCGCAAGGTGGCATGGGCAAAGGAAAAAACAGTCGCCCTCCAGCACGTTCTCACTGGAAACAACACCAAAAACAAGTAAAAGACAGCAACAAAAACAAAAACAGCGGAGCTCAACAAGACAAACACACACGTACGCACACGCACGGATGTAAAAACAGAAGGGAGGCCATATGTAAACATGCGAGAAACCACACAAGGTGAGAGAGCAAAGAAAGTAACCGCCACGACAAAAAAAAAATAAAAGGGGCAAGTAATCAATATAATAAAAGATGCTGCGCGCGTAACGCATACCACTCAGTATATAATTTCATGGGGAAAAAACAACAAAAGAGCGAGAGACACAAAAACCAATAAATACAGGACAAGATAATGGCACCGATAGACACAGAAAAACAAACAAACAAACAAAACTTAGACACCGTCATCAAATATATACTTCTTCTTTTCTAAAGACACACGGCCCACTTCCCACCCACGTACACGTCAACCTGCAAAAGGGACCGGAGGGCAGAGGTAAACAATATGGTAGAAATCCACACCCACACCTCAGCATGCACCAACAATATGATACCGCAACCAAATAATAATAATAATAAAATACACAGGACGCAGACCGAATACATTTGAATGAGTATAATCACCATCTTTAATAAGTTTTGCGCAGTGCTGCCGCAACACTCCCTCTTCCCCGTCTACCTGAAGAAGAATAGGGCTTAGATGGGGCGGCGTAGAAATGAGACATGGTTCGCCTGAAAACTAAAACTGATAGTCCATCGATAGACCAAGGATGTTATCATGTTCCACATTGCGACGCTTTGGTGCAAGCAAAATGTTTTTACTATTTACAGAGGGCAGTGTCGGTATGCGCGGCCGTTCTTCCTGAAGTGCGGATTTCTTTTCAGTTTTGTCGTTGGTGGTTTCCTGATTTGCCCTCCGCGTTGAAGCCGTCGATGGATTTACATTCGTGCCATTTCGTTTTTGCCGCTCCGTGCCTTTTACAGAAAGAATATCCGCAAGCTGCTCTCGAACAACAGAGACCTGCTTTTGACCTCTGGGCGACCCCACAGCCATTGGCTCCTTCCTCACGGGTTCGGGTTGACTTCGACGCCGCGTTTCATATATCGTTGGAATCGAAAATTTTTCACCTTCGTCTTCATTTTTATGAGAGGTCCAGAATTTATAACGTTGAATGAGTTTGGGCAGTTGGCCTTGTCGCTCCTTAGACGGCCATTGCTGCCCCTCCCTCAATATATACGGTGAATGCATCTCACGCATTTGCTTCTGCTGCGGTTGCGGTTTTTGTTTTGTTTCCGGCGCGGAGATGGAAGGGGCATCCAAAGTAACCGCATTCGACTCCTCCACCGCCGTTGTTTGTCTATTTCCTACATCCTTGAAGGAGAAACTAGTAAAGGGAATGCTCGCCCTCCGCGCTCGTTGCGGTTCGGTCTTCCCAGCATCTACACGCATCAAACCATCCTGCTCGGAATCTCGCGAGATCCAAGGGGGATCCTTATGGAAATTCGGCTTCTCCTCGCCGGGCAGACTGCTACGATGCCACCCATGTTTTGCATACGACGGTGGAAAATTCGGAATTCTCTTTAAGCCAGAAAAGGCCTTATTCGGTAAAGGCGTCATGTCGCTGTTGTCGCTGCGACGCCTCGCTTTCAACGATGGCGCTTTGGGGAAGGAGTGGCCCAAGTTCTCATACGAATTTTCCTCAGCGCCCACCACGGGCCCAAAGGTGGAGCGACGAAAAAAGGCATCATCTCCCCCCATCTGCATGCGACCAAGGCATGAAAGCTGATTGATCGACTCATCGTACCCTCGTAACGCACTCTGCCCAAAGACAGAGATGCTCTGTCCCTGGTGCATCGCGGGTTTGGCAAGGCTGAATGATGCATTAAACGCATTGTTGAGAAATGACCCCTCCAATCCCCTTCGACGGTTCCCCAAAAGATGGCTTGTTAAACTTGTGCCATCTTTTTCAAACGACCATCCACTGTCATTGTACAACCTGCTTCTTCCATAATTATCATACTCTTCACCATCATCTTTTTTGTTGCTATTTGTGCGGCTACCCACACTGAAGCTATCCTTTGTTTGCTTTGAAAGGTAACTCTCCGATGAAGAGGAGTCCTCATCCGAATCCGCTAATTCCATAAGTAAGTTGCTGGGAGCGAGACTCACTCTATTTTCCTTCGCTGGTTTTGGTTTGTTTCGTGTCTCCTCCACCCTCTCCTCCTCCATCTGTCCTAGCCTGGAACGAAATAACTGATTTGCCCCATCGTCCATGGCAGATGTACGCGAATGTTGTTGCAAACTCCGCGTATCTTCTTTTCCGTCTTCCTCTAGAGAATTTCTTCCATATGCCAGTAGAGATTTAAAGGTGGGAAGAAGCTGCGTCCCTTCTTCAGGATCCATGAAGTTCTTTGTATCATTCGAGTGTGAGTCACCGTTCTCAAATGCTTCATTTTCATCATACCTGACCCAATAAAATTCATGCCTTTCCTTCTCTTCATTTCCCTCGCCCACGTCTAAAGCGTAAAGACCTTTCCAATCGGGGCTGGGAACTCTTTTTATGGACCTTAAGGCATCTTCATACCACTTCCGATGGCCACGCATACTCATATGCGTCCTCCTGTCACAAGCTGTATATGGCAGCATCCGGCCATTCATCTGGTATGGTGCCATATTGGGATAATGCATATTATGGTGCTGGGAAAGCGTGTTACATTTCACAAAAAACAGTTCGTGATTACGAGGCAGAGGGTTAAATGTCCCTTGGTAGGAATTTGGCATCTCCGAGTACATGTTGTTCCAGTGCATATCTATATATAGATAATTATCTGTCGTTCTGTCTGCTCCTACTACACACTTACCCACTCACTCTTCTTTCCCTTTTTCGTTTTTTGTTTTTTTCCCCCTCCCTCCCCCCCACACACACAAAAAAGAAAAAAAAAACACCACCACCACCACCCCTTTCCTTCCTTTTTTTTTTTTTTTCCCTTTTCCTGTAGTTTTAATTCACACTCTTTTTTCCTCCCCCCCCCCTTTCCTGCCTGAATGGCAAAGGTGGAATGAAATATACACACACGTATGTATGTATGTATATTTATAGTTATATAGATGTATATTGTCTTCCAGTTACTCCCCCCCTCCCCTCCTCTTTGCTACACTTTCCTCGAAAAAAGAGAAAAAGAAAAGAAAAAAAAAAAGAAAAAACAACAACACCCTATCATTGCATATATACAAACAGCCGTTTCATTGGCAATGAAGTAGACACTCCCGAAGAGGACATCATAAATACGGAACGAGAAGAAGAAGAAAAAAAAAAAAAAAAAAAAGAACCGACGAGTTGGGGAAAACAAATGGATGTGTAAAACAAACAAACAAAAACCAAATACCACGACCGCTCTACGGGAACAAACATCCACAACGACAACAACAAGCAGCCATGCGAGACGGCAGACTCCCGCACACACACTCCACACCACATCCCCGGCGTGGATATCCGTCTCCCTCCTCTCCCCTTTTTTTTTTTAGCAACATCGCAGCGCAAGTCCTTCTTCCCCACACCACATGCATCCACAGCAAAAAAAAAAAAAAAAAATGCAATCAAATAAAATAAAATAAAGAATAAAAACAATATATTTTCCCTTCAAAGGCCACTGATAAAATGTTCATTCACATAATTACACAGACACAAAAAAAACATACGTTAAATAGAGAGGGGAAAAAAAAAATGTAAAATAAATAAATAAACAAATAAAAAAAAATATATACATCTGATTTTTTTATTTATTTTTTTACGGCCTCCCTTCTTCTCGTACAGTTGCCGTCCGTGTGAGAAGACAGGACGGAAAGGGAGGGGAGGGGATATAAAACAAAAAAAGTGCCGCCCCGCCTACAATCCTCAACACACAGAGACAAACACACCTAAAAAAGAAAACACAAAAAAATGCGAAATGCCCCTCCCTCCCTCCCAAAGAAGGGAGGTGAGGGGAAATTAATAATAATAAACATGAGACACTCACGCAAAAGCGTGCAGCAAAAAAATTTTTTTTTTTTTTTTTTCCGTCGGCCAATACACGCCCGGCTGAAGCCTTCTTCTTCGTCGTCTCACCCGCTCGTCCCTTCAAGGGCATAAGAGGGAGAGGGGCGCCGTGCGGTGGGCGATGAGAAAAATTGGCTCCGCTGCGCCCAACACATTCCCCTCCCTCCCCGGGCTTCAGTGCAGCGCCGCCCCGCACCCATACATCCCCCACAGGACAAACAAATACAAAAGGCAGGTGGCCATGATGAACAAACGTCTTGTGAGACCGCAAGGTGGCATGGGCAAAGGAAAAAACAGTCGCCCTCCAGCACGTTCTCACTGGAAACAACACCAAAAACAAGTAAAAGACAGCAACAAAAACAAAAACAGCGGAGCTCAACAAGACAAACACACACGTACGCACACGCACGGATGTAAAAACAGAAGGGAGGCCATATGTAAACATGCGAGAAACCACACAAGGTGAGAGAGCAAAGAAAGTAACCGCCAAGACAAAAAAAAAATAAAAGGGGCAAGTAATCAATATAATAAATAATAAACAACAACAAAGGAAAAAACAGTTAATAGAGGCCATGGCAGAAACATTAATTTCGTCATTCCTTGTTTTACTTATTAAAGCCTCCTTCCACTGCTCACACTGCACACATATATATATAATAATAGTAATAGCTCTTTACATATGCTCATTTGTCTCCATCGTCATACACAAGCACACACACACACAGAGAGAGAGAGAGAGAGACAAACACATGCATACAGGCAAAAAAAAAAAAGAGATTTATATAGACGGATACGCACGCACATGTACTCTGTTTATCATTTTTTATTTCTTTTTGCTAACGATACTTCTTAGCATGCATGCACATTCCTTTGTTCCTTTTCTTTGCCCGATATCGGTCCTCGTTGGCTGCCTCTTTCATACAAAACAAAAACAAAAACAAATCCTCACCGACTCATCCCTCCTGTTCCTTTCAGTTAACAGCAATCATTCACAAAGAAGTCCATGCCAACACAATTACATTCGCACGGTTAATTCTCCCCTCTCTCTCTCTCTCTCCTCACGACATGCACCTCCCACACACGTCGTCAGGCTCCTCGCACCTCCCCCTCGTCCCCTCACGCACACAAATACACACACGCGCAAAAGAAAGGATCAAACTAAAACACAGGCGAAACGATGAAAACGGCTCAAACACATACACACGCACACAAAAAACAGTCAAATTAAAACAAAAACAACAACAAAAAAGAAGAATGGGGGGTGAAGAAGGGAGGGAGGGGGGAGGTACGTGCGCATTCAAATATAAATACATTTGGGGGGTGTTTGCACTGCTATGTTGAGGCGCGTGGGGGCGAGCAAGCAAAGAAACAAAAATGGCACACACACACACACAAATAAAAGGAAAAAGAAAAAAACAAACAAACAAAGATGCATGCCAAGAGGGAAGCAAGAGATCGAATGTAAAATAAAGCCCCCTCCAAGGAAACAACAAACCACCACCACTACTACTACCACCCCTCCAGGGAGGAGCGACAAATTCATGCGTGTGTGCACGCCTATTAACATATTAGTGGAACAGATCATGTAAAAGAAAAAGGGGTAAAAAGAAGGGAAGCAGAAGGAAAAACAAAAATGGGGCAAAAAAAAATAATAATCCACAACAACAACAAAAAGAAAGAAAATCCTGCGGAGGAAAACACACGTACACACACACAAAAAAAAAAAAAAAGAATCATCTACTATTAATCTTAAAGAAAATATTCGGCTTTCCGCATTCTTCCTCCTGGAAAATTTTTCCGTGTTGTGTCCTTAAAATTGTGTATGCATGTGTAATACCACATCTCCATATATATATATATTTCCTTCGATCATTCCTTATTCTCTTTTTCTATCCTACACGACATGCCGTTCCTTCCCCACAATACGTCGCCTGCGACATCGCTCTGATCATTGGTACTGAGGGGTGGATGGGTGGTGGAAACAGCCCAAGGCAGCAGTAGCACCCATAAAAAAAGAAACAAAAAAAGAGCCGCCCTTCCGTCCTCAACGTACCCTGCTGTGGGAAATTTTCTTGGACACCTCGGCTGCATCGATGGCCTCCAGATCTGGGCTATTGACACGTTTTATGTTACCCAATGCATGGCGGAACCAATCCGATGGCATCCTCGCACCCTTCTCTCCGTAAAAACTACGTGGTGTACGTGGACGGCGCTTTGTTTTTGTCTTTTCCAATTCTAGAGGCATTTTTTCCGGGTAAGTCAGATTCCGTGGACGGTCGTGATGAAAGACCTGAGCAACCACATTGTGCAGATTCCAATCCAACTCCAGCTGCTCCCCTGCGTACTCAATTACACCCGCTGTTGATGAATTTGGATTCGGTGGAGGAGTAAACATAAGAAGCGGCGCGGTTGCCCACATTTCAATCTCCGGCCATCTTTTTTCTGCTGAAGAAAACAGTCGCAATCGGACCATGGCCTCTGTTGATGTGCTCACAAGTTCATCGATGTGATCATGCATTTCTTGCATATCATCTGTGCTTTCCCTGGAAACCTCCCCCCTGTGGGATCGTTCCGTACCGTATTCCTCAGACCTACTAGTTACAGTTTTTTCTCCAGATACTTCTATGAGTGTGTCCCACATTTCTGTGTGAAAGGAACGATGAAGAGCTGCCCTTTCATCCTCATATCCATGATCAATAGAGTCGCTTTTCTCACGTGTTTTGGTTGCTTTCTGATGGTCGTTAACAGAGGGGTGAACAGGAGGACCGTAATTGTCAATTTTCGGCACGTTCGATGGGGGATGCTTCCCGTCTTCGGTAGGAGGACTTTCGTACGCAATGACGTGTTGCCCCATCATATCTTGTTTTTTTTCTACCCAACCGTCCGTTTTTTTGAGGGGCTGAATCGACTCAGTTTTGTTATTCTCAGATTTACTCGGTGTGCACACGGACACGGGAGCTGTGCTTGTTGCTTTCAGCGTATTCTTGCCTCCCGGCGCTGGGGCCTCAGACACCGTCGGGTGTTTCACCCTAATGAACGCTTCTCCAGGAGCCCCTGGGATGGCGGTGGCAGGGGTTTTTTCTGTGGGCGCTCTAGCCCTCTCTCCGGAGAAGTAGATTTTTCTCCTTCCATCTTCACTCCCCCGCTTTTTCACCGCGTTGTTTTGTGCCTTAGTTGCTGTTGCATTAAAAAAAATCTTTCGCGTGCTTACGCGCCTTCCATTGGGTGGGGCATCCACAGGGATGTCATTTTTATTTGTGCCATCGCGCAAAGCTTTGCTTAGTGACTGCTGCCGCGGCTGCGACAACGATTCTCGCAACCCGTTTGGCTTCGTGTGCGGAAGGCTGACTCGGCTCCTGATGGCTAATTGGCCTACATTTCCGGCGGCAGCTCCCTGCCCCCTTTGTGGAGAACCATCCGGACTGCGTGCCAGGGGCCTCGTTGCGTCTGAGTTGGGGAGAGACACCCTGGGGCGCCTGGCGACAGTGATGGTGGTGGTGGCGGCATTTTTCACATCTTCATCCTCGCCGTTCTTGTCGTTGCCGCCCAATTTCGGGGAGGAACTTTTCCTCGGCGGTGAACAAAACCCCGGGGTGCCTTTATACTGCAACAGGGGAAGAAACCCCTGCTTTTTTTCCAGCACGCCAACCTCTTGACTGTTTTTTTCAGGGGCGGTGGAACTGAAAAGCCCATCCAATGTCTCGACATTGTCCACAACACCGTAGCCATTGCCGTAACCGTACGCGAACGGATCGTCACGCGTGTGAATGTCCATTCGGAAAACTGTTTTCACCAAATTATTGACAAACTTCAAGGCGGGTGGTAAGAAGGAAAGAACACACTCGTGTATGATGGATGTTGTGCCCAAGTGTGTCTCCTCCTCCGCCTCACTGTTTTCACTCCCGTCCCCGCCCTCCTCTTCCCCCCTCTCTTTCGTCTCCAATGTAGCGGGAGACGGAGCAGCAGGAAAAACAACAACAACAACAACAACAACAACAACAACAGTTGATGACAATCACAGGGGCGAGGTGGCTCTGTAATCACACACACACACACACACACTGCACACCACACGCCTTCTCCCTTGTCAGTGGTCTCCCTCTCTCTCTCTCCCTCTCTATAAATATAAATATGTGTGTATATGTATATAAGTGATGTAGGTACCTCCCTCACTGGATGGATGCGGAGGCAAAAGATGAACCTCCTACTTCTTCCTGCGTCCTAGTGAGTGTTGATTTTCCCTTCAAAGAAGAAAAGATTAAAAAAAGAAAAAAAAGAGCCAAAAAACACAAACAAAAAAAATAGCAACAACCAACAACAGCAACGATGCATCCAAAATCATTCCTTCATGCCTTATCTCCGGTGTGAATATAACGCTGGGAAATGGGAGCAGGCAGACAGATAATATAGAAAAAACAAAAAAAACAAAAAAAAACAAAAAAGAAAAATAATAGAAGGCGTGCACTAAAACAAAGACACAAACCCACACACACCCTCCTCAATATACACATCGGCACACACACACACACACAAACAGACACTGAAGGATTTGCATGTATTATATATATAACATAATATAATATAAAACTCAATTAAATATTAAGCGTGTTGTAAATATTTACCAAATTATATAATTTAAATTTATTCCCTTTTCCTTTTTTTTTTTTTCTTCTTCTTCTTCTTCTCTGTTGGATGCTTATTTCACCTCCCCCCCCCCCCCCCCACTTCTTCCCGCAGAGGCATGTAAAAACAATCCATTTATTCCCTCATGACTGCTGGTGTCTATTACACTGGAGGGTAGACTCACACACACACACACACACACACACACAAACGGACTAAAGTAACGCAAAATTGCACATGGAGAAAATAAAATAAAAGAAAAAGAAAAAGAAAACATGAATGGAGTTTCGCAACAAATGTTCTTTCTCATCAATTAAGATATAAATATATATATATATATATAAAGGACCATCACTCGGCTTTTTCTCTTCTTCCCACCTATTCATGCCTACATCTCTTCGCTTTACCCGTTCCTCCTTTCCTCTAAGTCCAATATGTATCTACATCTATCTATATGTATATATGCTTATCGTTGTTCCTTCGTGTGGCTTTACTCCAGTCCACCTCGTAGCAGCAAACCATGGGATTTATACCAGAAACTTACCTCTCCCCCTCCCCTCCCCCCCCCAATTGAAAAAGACAAACAAACAAACAAACAATAACTCTACATGAAGTGACCACAACACACACACACACAGATGGATACATAGATACACATAGATATATACATATATATATATATTAACACATGGAAAACAAAGCCAAATCACCACAAGATATAAGTGCGTAATGCATGCACATAATAGACAAACAAACGTAAAAACAATTTAAATAACAAACAAACAAATAGAGGAGGAAGATGTCAACAATATCATAGACATCTTCCATCATCTTATTCTCGTCCCTTCTTCTTCTTCTTCTTCTTCCACTTTTTTTTTTTTTTTTTATTCCCCTCTTCCTCCACTTCTCCCCCCCCCCTGCCCCTTCCCCACAACAACACGTTTAGGGCCACGCAGAAAGGGGGAGGGTGGAGCCAAACAAGACAAACGCACAAAAAACAAAAAATAAAAAAATAAAATATGCAGAAAAAAAAATACACACGCATAATAATTAATAATAAAAATAATGAACACACTCAAAGGACAGAGGGAGACAAAACAACAACAACAACTACAACAGCAACAACCAAAATAAAGGCCAAGAAGACAAAAGTCCCTTCTTCCTCACCACCACACCACACAAAAATCATGTTCGCCTCTTAATGCCTTCTCCAACTTGTTGTCCACATTACGGACCCCTTTACTCCCTTGGCCATCCCACCAGAAACACATGCACGCCGTGACCACCACGTGCCGCAAAAGTCAGGCAAACAACAACAACAACAACAACAACAACAACAACAGCCTCTTGAAGGATCCCCAAGGAAAAAGACTAAGCAAACAAACAAACAAAAAATAATTTTTTGCGTTCAATTACCATCTTCTTTTCGCATTCCCCCATCTTCCCAGTCACCCTGCCCGCAACCCTCAAAAAATTAAACAGTAGCCACAAGGAAACCTCAAATACCCCTCCCCCCCTTCGCCAAGGAAAACCAAAGAGAGGCAGAAGACACATGTATACAGTAGCCGTTACTTGAAAAGGTTCATAAAGGCATTCAGAAACTTTGACGTTTTGGCAGAAGGATTACTTTCTTTTTTCTTTATAATCTCCCCCTGCTTACGGGACGTCTCGCATGAACCTCGTTTTGGAGAAGGTGGAGGAGAAATTACACGTTTCGTATGCACAGTGCCCTGAAACCATGTTTCATTTCCCAAATGGCGCATTTTTGGACGTCTGCAGCATCTTAGTCGCATGTAATTATTTTCTTTAAATCGTGTAGGCTCCACCAAAGAGGGTTGAGGTCCTCGTGCTACAACCGGCAATCCAGTAACCGAAGACACCGCTGGAATTGCCCTCTTCTGGTTGTTATTAATGGCACCTGGCCCAGCTTCTATCATGCGAACGCCGTTTCTCTCATTGTCTCGCGGGAACACATGGATGTCCGACACATTCCCATAATTCCACCCAATTATCCTAGAGGCTACCGGACTCCAATGTGGTGCGGCCATACCCATCGGCAGTTTGTTGATACTGGGAGGATACGGATAGAGGCCGTTATTTGACCTCGCATGGGATGAAGCGTTTTCAAAGCGAGATGAATTCATGGCCATTGCTTTTCCCTGTTTGGATCCACTTACGTTGGGCGACTTGGGCTGCAGTTGGTCGCTGTGTCTCCGCACCACAGTGGTGTATATGGCATTCACGTGCCGCGGCGCAGGTGTTACCCTGCCCACCGACAGGGGCAGCTGCGGGTGGGCGGCCCACCTCCCTTCATTCCACGTGGGCCCGGCTCGATAACAGACGAGCTCCTTATCGTTGGGGCGGTTGAAACGCGCCCCCTCAGAGGAGTAATCCATATTTCCGTCCAT